TAGGGTTTTGCTGGAACTGTATATTATAACTCCCAGTTTGAGGGTTTTGTTCTACTTTAAAGTTATCTAGAGAAAGCCCCCCTTCCCCCAAACCAAAACAGCGACGAGGGTTTACGAATTAGGGTTTAGGGTTTAGGGTTTACAAATTAGGGTTTAGGGTTTTGCTGGAACTGTATATTATAACTCCCAGTTTGAGGGTTTTGTTCTACTTTAAAGTTATCCAGCGAGAGCCCAACTTTCCCCAAAACAAAACGGCGACGAGGGTTTAGGGTCTACAAATTAGGGTTTAGGGTTTACAAACTAGGGTTTAGGGTTTAGGGTTTAGGGTTTTGCTGGAACTGTATATTATAACTGCCAGTTTGAGGGTTTTGTTCTACTTTAAAGTTATCTAGCGAGAGCCCAACTTTCCCCAAAACAAAATTTCCTAAATCTTTTAATTTATTTATCATTTCTTCTTTTTCTTTTTTAAATAAATTTTCACTCTCAGCTTTCACGCGACGCAAATCTGAGCTGTATGTACACCTGAATATACACACATCAAACCCTAAACCCTAAACCCTAAACCCTCATAAACCCTCAAAACCCTAAAAAAAAAATTATAAAAATCTGAATATTTATTTGCAATAGAAAAACAACACTAACCGCCAAATTTTTAAATATTTTATAAACCGAAAGGAGAGCTTGTTTATACAGGTTATTAGGGTTTAGGGTTTAGGGTTTATTGGGGTTTAGGGTTTATGGGTTGAATGTGTTTCGCAGTTATCATATAGTGTTTTAGGATTACGCGTTGTTTAAAATCTAGGGTTTAGGGTTTGAACCCGTCTAGGGTTTAGGGTTTGAACCCCTCTAGGGTTTAGGGTTTAGGGTTTAGGGTTTAGGGTTTAGGGTTTACGCGAGTGTAGGGTCTAGCTCAATGGCTTTGTTTAAGTCACTGAGGGCTTCGTGCCACTTCTGCTGCCCCTCGTAGCCGCGGAAGCGGCGGAGATAACCCTACAAACACAAACCCTAAACCCTAAACCCTAAACCCTAAACCCTAGTAAACCCTAAACCCTGAATTGTAGATGCAACAGAAAAAGACGTGGTGTTCATAATATGCCGTCTAGGGTTTAGGGTTTAGGGTTTAGGGTTTGTGTAGTTGATTCAACAAAGAAGAATGAGATGTCTAGGGTTTACTAATTAGGGTTTACAAAACATAACCCATCAGGGTTTAGGGTTTAGGGTTTACGAATTAGGGTTTAGGGTTTAGGGTTTAGGGTTTACCTTTGCATATTTAGGGTTTACGCGGATAGCGTCCGAGGCATCCGCCACAGCCGCCTCAAACTCTTTGTAGTGCAGGTGACACAGAGCCCTGCAGCAGCAGCAGCAGCAGCAGCAGCAGCAGCAGCAGCAACAGCAGCAGCAGCAGCAGAGGAACAGCAGCATATATATATAAGTAGCAGCAGCAGCAACAACAACAACAGCAGCAGCAGCAACGCGAACGGCATCATGTTGCTGCAGCTGTATCTCTATCAGCAGCTCTATCTGTGATTCAACTGCAGCAGCAGCAGCAGCAGCAGCAGCACGTGCTGCTGCTGCTGCTGCTGCTGTTGCTGCTGCTGCTTACCTGTTGCTCTTGATAACTGCATGCATCTCGTCGTGCTGCTGCAGCTGCTGCAGCAGCTCTCTGTATTTTAGGAGTTTTGCTGCTGGCAGCAGATGAGCAGCAGGGTGTTCCCTTGGATCCTGCTGCTGCTGCTGCTGCTGCTGCTGCTGCTGCTGCTGCTGCTGCTGCTGGTCTTGGGATGTTTCTTCTTCTTGCTGCTGCTGCTGCTGCTCGTCCTGCTGCTCGTTGCCCTGCTGCTGCTGCTGCTGCTGCTGCTGCTGCAGCTGCTCTGCTTCTACCTCTATAGCATCCAGCAGCACTTCTATTTCTTCTGTTTCTCTTTCTGCTGCTGCAGCAGCAGCAGCATAAAAGTGAAGAGCAGCAGACACAGCACCTCTCTTAAACTCTACGTTGCCTCTCTCTTTCAGTTCAGCAGCAGTTTGCTGCTGCTGCTGCTGCTCATCCTCATCGCCATCTAACTCTTCGAAGCGAGGGGGATCTTCTGCTGCTGCTGCTGCTGCTGCTGCTGCTGCTGTTGCTGCTCTTGGTGCTGCTGCTGCTGCTGCTGCTGCTGCTGCTGCAGAATCTGCTGCTGCTGCTGCTGCTGCTGCTTCCGCTGCAGGG